GAGGGGTCAATGCAGCGAGGCCACGCCCACCCCTGGCCACGCCCCCACCCCAATAAAAACGCTCATTCCCGTATTTGGATGTGGGCGTGGTCAATGCTTTTATTTGGAGAAAGGGGCGGGGTTTTCATTGAAGTGATGTCATCGCTCCTGCGGAGGGGAGGGGTCAATGCAGCGAGGCCACGCCCACCCCTGGCCACGCCCCCACCCCGATTTAAACTCTGCCATGCCCGTTTGGGGGTGTGGGCGTGGTCAATGCCTTTATTTGGGAAAAAAGGGGCGGGGTTTTGATTCAGGTGGTGACGTCATCGCTGCTGTTGGGGGGAGGAAAGAGGAGAGGTCAATGCCCTGAAGCCACGCCCCCTTTAGGGTGACCACGCCCCCACCCCGGGATTTCCGGTGAAGGCCCCGCCCCTTCCTGGTTTCCCATTGGCTGGCTTTGGCCACGCCCTCGTCTCGGGGCTTTCCCATTGGCTGCTCCAAGCCCCACCCCTAATTCCCTGCTCTCCCATTGGTCAATCGAGGCCCCGCCCCCTCTCTGCTCCTATTGGCTGGGTGAAGCCCCGCCCCTTTCGAGCTTCCCATTGGCTGCTTTAAGCCCCGCCCCTTCACAGACCACTCCCATTGGCTGCCTGAGGCCACGCCTCCAATTCCAGCCATTCTCATTGGCTGTTCTAAGCTCCACCCCCTTGCTGCTTTCCTATTGGCCAATCTTAGCCCCGCCCCAATTCCAGCCTCTCCCATTGGCTGCTTTAAGCTCCACCCCTCCAACTGAAGCCCCGCCCCCTTATCTTTCCCCATTGGCTGCTCTAAGCCCCGCCCCCTTTCATCTTTCTGCCATTGGCTCGGTGAAGCCACACTCCCATACAAAGGACTAAGCCCCGCCCCCTCACACCCGGATTGGCTCATTCTGGCCCCGCCCTCACGTCGCTGCTCTCCCATTGGCTGGGTGAATCACAAAGCCCCGCCCCTCCCCTCCCTCCGTGATTGGCCCTTTCCTCTCCTGCTCTCTTATTGGCTGTCCCGGGGCTCAGTGCTCTCTCATTGGCTGGAGAAAACCTCACCCCATATAGGGACAAAGCCCCGCCCTCTCCCCTCCTGATTGGCCAATTCCTGCTCTCCCATTGGCTGGAGGAAGCCCCACCCCATATAGAGACATAGCCCCGCCCCCTCCGTCCCTGATTGGCCATTTCCAGCTCTGCTCTCCCATTGGCTGTCCCGGGGCTCAGTGCTCTCTCATTGGCTGACTGAAACCCCACCCCATACAGGGACAGAGCCCCGCCCCTTCCCTCTTTGATTGGCCGATTCCATTCCTGCTCTCCCATTGGCTGGAGGAAGCCCCACCCCATACAAGGACAAAGCCCCGCCCCTTTCTCTGTGATTGGCCAATTCCTCCTCTTCCATTGGCTGAGTGAAGCCCCTGTCCATATAAGGACAAAGCCCCGCCCCCTCCCTTCCTGATTGGCCATTTCCAGCTCTGCTCTCCCATTGGCTGGGTGCAGCCCCACCCCATATAAGGACAAAGCCCCGCCTCCTCCCTCCCTGATTGGCCCGTGCCGGCCCCGCCCTCACCTCTCCGCTCTCCCATTGGCCGTTGTCGGGCTCAGGGCTCTCCCATTGGCTGGGTGAAGCTGAGGGCGTCTCCCAGCGCTCCCCATTGGCTGCGGCGGGTCTGGAACAGCCCCACCCACACGCCCAGGCCCAGCCCCCAGAGCCCCGCCCCCAGCGCCGAGCGCAGCACGTCTGGGGGGGGGAGGGGAGGGCAAAGGAAGGAACCAAAATCAGCCAAAATGACACCAAAAATAACCCCAAAATTACACAAAAATAACACAAAAAATAACCCCAAAATCAGCCAAAATAACACCAAAAATAACCCCAAAATCAGCCAAAATGACACCAAAAATAACCCCAAAATTACACAAAAATGACACCAAAATCAGCCAAAATGACACCAAAAATAACACAAAAATTACACAAAATTACACCAAAAATAACCCCAAAATCGGCCAAAATGACACCAAAAATGACCCCAAAATTACACAAAATAACACCAAAAATAACCCCAAAATCAGCCAAAATGACACCAAAAATGACACAAAAATGACACAAAAATTACACAAAAATAACACCAAAAATAAACCCAAAATCAGCCAAAAAATAACACCAAAATAACCCCAAAAATGACACAAAAATTACACAAAAATGACACCAAAAATAACCCCAAAATCAGCCAAAATGACACCAAAAAT